ACGTGCCCTCCATCCCCTGGCACATGTTCCTGTGTGTGCACAGCCCTCCCCTGTGTCCACTCACACACACGTGCCCTCCATCCCCTGGCACAGGCACCCGTGTGTGCACAGCCTTCCCCCTGCCTTTGCCCACCCTTCCCCGTGCCCCTCCCTGTGCCCCCCACTCCAAGCAGCCCCTCTGCCCCCGGCAGGTCCCACGGCCCCGACGCCAAGATCCTGGAGCAGGGGCCAGGCCAGCCCCAGGGGCCACTGGCCCTGGGCCACATGCTGCACATCGCCACGCAGATCGCCTCGGGCATGGTCTACCTCGCCTCCCTGCACTTCGTCCACCGAGACCTGGCCACCCGCAACTGCCTGGTGGGCCACGACCTGGTGGTGAAGATCGGGGATTTCGGCATGTCCCGGGACATCTACAGCACTGACTATTACAGGGTGAGCTGCCCCCTCACCCCCCCAGCTCTGCCATGGGCTGGGGGGGCCATGCTCGATTTTCCCTCTTCGCTGCTGCCCCCCACCCTGTCTCCATCCGTATTCAACCACAGAGTGGGTTGGGTTGGGTTGGGTTGGGTTGGGCTGGAAGGGACATTTAAAAGTCATCCAGTCCAACCTGCGACCTTCTACTAGACCAGGTTTCTCAAGTCCTGTCCAATCTGGTCTTGAATGCTTCCAAGGAATATTCCACAGCTTCTCTGGGCCACCTGCGCCAGGGGCTCACCATGAAAAATTTCTTCCTTACATCTCGTCTGAGGCTTAATGAGTGGGGCCAGGGATGAGGGGGGCAGATGGGGGGAGCCCTGCCCTGCCCTGACAGCCCCACCGTGGGCAGGTGGGAGGCAGGACCATGCTGCCCATCCGCTGGATGCCCCCCGAGAGCATCCTGTACCGTAAGTTCACCACCGAGAGCGATATCTGGAGCTTCGGCGTGGTGCTCTGGGAGATCTTCACCTACGGGAAGCAGCCCTGGTACCAGCTCTCCAACACTGAGGTGAGCAGGCAGGGGGGAGGAGGATGGTGACAGACCCCCCCGGGGGGTACCCGGAGTGGGGGGATCCCATCTCCATCCCGGTTCCCGCAGGCCATCGAGTGCATCACTCAGGGGCGGGAGCTGGAGCGTCCCCGCACGTGCCCCTCCGAGGTCTATGCCATCATGCAGAGCTGCTGGCACCGGGAGCCCCAGCAGCGCCGGCCCATCAAGGAGATCCACAGCCGCCTCCAGGCCCTCGTCAAGACCCCCCCTGTCTACCTGGACATCCTTGGCTGAGCGGGGACCCCCACCCGCCCTCGGCTCCCCGCTGCCCCCCTGCCCTCCCTGCTGCCCAGGGGCATGGCTTTCCCCCCCCCTGCACAGCCCTGGACTGATGCCCCATGCAGGGGGAGAGGGCTGAAACCTTATTTATAGTGGAAAATGCCAGCCCATCCCGGGGGGGCTGGAAGGCTGGGCTGGGGGACCCCCAGGGCTGGGACCCCCAAATTTGTGGCCCTGCTACCTTGGCTCCTTGTCATTCCCAGCGTGCCGGGATGGAGGTGTTCTGCTGATGTGGGTTGGCTCGAGGGGGCAGAGCTGAGAGTCCCCCAGCACGGGGTCTGTGCAGGAGCCGGGGGGGCTCAGCTCTCGGGGGGAGTTGGGACGCCCCGTGCTCTGCAGCAAAACCAGTCACTAATAAACCGTCTCTCCCCCGCACTGGGCCCTGCCTGCTCCGGGGTGTCGTCTGGGTGTGGGGAATGGAGGGATTTGGGGCTTTTTGAAGCAGGGAGACCACCCTGTCTGGGACAGAGGAGCTGGAGGGGAGGTGCTGCCCCAGGGATCCTGGGATGTGGGGACAATGTGTGCCCAAGATGCAGGGATGATGCGCACCAGGACCCCGGGATGCAGGGATGATGTGTGCCGGGATGATGTGTGCCAGGATGAAGCAATGATGTGTGCCCAGGGCCTCGGGATGCAGGGATGATGTGTGCCTGGGATGCAGGGATGTGTCCCCAG